TCCTAAAATTCACTGGCAATAAGAGAAAGGCAAATCAAAATAACAGTGAGATATCATCTCACTCCCGTAGCAGTGGCAAATAAGACAACAAGAAAAAAATGTTGGAGAGGATCTGAAGAGACTGGAACTCTCATCCACTGTTGGTGGGACTGTAAAATGGTACAACTCTGGAAAGCAGTTTAGCATTTCCTCAAAAAGCTGAACATAGAAATTCCAAATGACTCAAGTATTACACTGCTAGGAATATACCTCAAGGAAAATAGAGCTGAGGTACAAACAGAGAAATGTTCATAACAGCATTATTCACAATAGCAAGAAAATGGAAACAGCCAAAATGTCCATCACAAACAAATAAACTGAGAAACTGTGGCACAATCACGTGATGGAATGCTATGCAGTATTCAGGAGCAAGGATTTTGAGACATACTGTATAACATGGGAGAGGCCGGAGAGCATTATGCTGAGTGGACTAACTCAGTCTCATAAGGACAAATACTGCATGAGACCATTATTGTAAAAATTGAAAGGTTAATGGTAATATATGTACTAAAGTCCAAAGGGGGAAGGGGAAGGAGGACGGAGGCTGAGAGTAAGGCGGAGGGGAAATCTTGAGGTCACAGAAGTTGGTGGGCACAGGGAAGGGGTGAAGGAATTAGGAAAGATCTACTGGGAACCTTTAAAAGTGGAGTAATGGTGGGTATGGATCAATGGTGACTAATTTTATCAAACACACTGTATAAGGAATGAAAATATAAAATGCAGTGTGATGAAAGAATGCATGAAATACAACATATAAGACTTCTCTATGGAAACCAATATAAAAATAAGACAAAAAAATTCTAGTCAGTTGAGTCCCTATGTCTTGAGTTGATAAAATTCCTATTTTTCAAAAGAGCATCCAAGAATCAAGAGTTTTAGAAAGATTGTATATTTGATTCATCTTAAATAGTTTTAATTTTAGTATAAAATACATCACATTAATATATGGAGTCGCTATGAGTCACAAGGAACTCGACGGCACATAACAACAACTAAATCTACAGTCACTAGTGAAAATTAATTACAAAACAATTATGTTCTAAACTATTTCAAAGCAAAGAAATTATACACACACACACACACATACACACACACAGAGGTGTTGTAGTATGCAAAGGATTGCTTTTTACATAAATTAAATCCTTTGACTTTCCTGTAAGTGCTTTTCACAGATTAAGCATGTGATTTAAAAATAATTATTAATGATCCCAAAATATTAAATTTGTAATTTATGTTTATATGCAATCAAATTTTCAGTTACTTTAAGTATAATTCATTTGGTTTAACAAAATTCCCTTGAGACAACAGTGATCTATGCCTAATGCTTATGCAATGAACAACTTAAAGGTTGAGAAAATGACAAAAGGCAAATAGGTTACATATCTTTAATCGTAAAGGAGAACAAACTTAAGATTAAATTTTACAACAATATTTGATTCAAAAGCCACTGTGG